GTGGAGGGATCTGTTTTCTGAGATACAAACACACAAACGTGGTATGTGATGGAGTCAAACATCATAGTGTGAAACAATGTGAGGTGCCAGTCTCCCCCTAACTTCCTCTCTTCCTTCACAGGTCGGACAGCTCGTTTAACTTTATGGCCTTTTTCTTCATCTTTGGTGCACAGTTTGTTCTCACGGTCCTGCAAGCAATTGGTTTCTCTGGATGGGGAGCATGGTAAGCAGGACCCTGCTAGCTTCTTGTAGTTGATCACTCGGCCTGTGTGCCTTACAGTTTCAGCCTATGAGATCTAGCTCCATGAACTCTGCAGAAACTGGCGGGGTCTCTACAGCATGGTACGCAAAAAAACTTTCTGATTTCCCCTATGGCATATTTCTGTCTACCCTTGGAGTAAGTAATTCTGTCTATTCCCATTGCTAGTAATTGTAAGAGTTCCTGTATTGGCAGAAGTCAGATATCTTCATCTGTTTGTTCTTTTTAGCACCTCCCCGTAATGTCCCTTTCTTCTTGCCATTTATCCACACGACTGCAACATTCATCTGATCCTTTCTTAGCATTGCCCTCAAAGTACTCCCAGCACATGGTGAGCAGTGCACAACATGACTCACTGTTGGCCTATAGAGCAAGTATTGCGAGAGTTGTCCTAAAATAAATGGAAGCATTTTAGAGTCTGTCCCTCATTATGTTATAATTGTTTGGCATTTTAACTTTCTGTCTCTAGAGACTTGAGAGCAAATCCTGCTGCAGCTACAAATAATAGAAAGTCCTAGCACTCTGCATAGCGTTTTGTTTTCTTAACTGCTGATGCTCCCAAGTTCCCCTCTCTGGTTATTACGATTATAGGGAATGGGGATGCAGATCATAGGACCCTGATGCTCCTTGTTCCCAGCTGTGTTCCCTAGGTGCAAGACCTCTGCACAACTGAAAGCATCTTGGGAATAAATGACTCCTTAAAGTCTTGCTGTGCAGCTGGCTTTTCCCCAAGACCTGAGATAGGATTAGCCAGGGATGCTTGCAAGCTAGGTCTGCGATCTTGGAGAAATACCTACCCAAGCTGCATTTAGTTCTGGCCATTGTCTTCATTGTTCTTTTCACTTTCAGGAGCTTTAACGCTGCCTCATGTAATTTCTGGGTGTGCGTAAAGAGTCTCTATGATAATAAATATACTTAGAAAAGAAGAGCTGTAATGATACTGTTTCTTTCTTTCTATCTCTTCCAGCGGATGGTTGGCAGCCGTTACTTTCTTTAGCACTAATGTTGCAGCTGCTGTGTTCATGCTGTTTCCTGCCATTATGTTTACAATGTCAGCAGTCGCGATGCTCTTCTGCATTTTAAGGGTAGGTGCTTCATATGTCTCTCTGACTTGGAGTATCTGTGCTTTGTATCACAGTAATGTGAACAGGCAGCTTAACAGCCACTGTAAGCCATCACTGCCTTTAAAGGTTTTTTAGTGGAGTCAGTTGGTTTCTCAAAGAGTATCTAGAGGACAAATCCAAATAAGGCAAGGAGACTAGGGCTGGACATTCTCACCATTTCATGCGGCCGTATTCTTTTACGTCAATTGAACCAAGCTTCACTGGTTATTGGGATGGTCATTGACTCTAAAGGTGAAGCATCTTGAAGTCTCTCTGGTGGGAACTGGGTGGCAGGATTTGTCTGCAGAATGAAGGGTTTGGAGAGCCACTCTCTAAGGTAACACTGTATGGAAAGCTGCAGTAGATTGACTGTAGGGGAGGAGAGAAGTCGGAGGGAAAAGAGCACCAGGGATTAGCCCAACAAAATGCTGTCTCAGAGCAGTTGCCATCATGGAGTTTATTGTGGGCTCATGGAAACCTGTTGCCCTCCTGTCATCAAGATTAGTGTCACTGCCCTGTGTCCTTTTGGGCATTGCATAGTTGTGTGACTTTTAAACTAGACTTTCTTTTTACACCCTTGGGTACCAGCTGCACATTTTTTCTTAGCCTACAGCTGAGTCCATCAGTCTCAGCCCTGCTGAAGCAGCAGTTTCAGTATTAGAGTTTTCAGCACGTTGATCTGAGTTGGCTACCTTGCTGTACTCCGCAGCCTGAATCCCAGTCAGGTGGCTGAAATGGGTTGAAGTATTGGGTTGATGTTATCTGTCTCTCTACTCTGTATTGCTACTTTTTAAGTGCTTTTATTCCTTGGAAATGTAGCTCCTTACAGAGAGAGAGAAACAGGTGCATGATATAGTACCAGAGTTACTATAGCTCTTCTCAGGAAGAGGTCTAGGTGCCTGTTGCTGACCTTCCTCTTGTTCGTCCATTAGGTACACAAAATCTACCGAGGGGCTGGTGGGAGCTTCCAGAAAGCTCAGGATGAGTGGAACAGTGGCACATGGAGGAATCCCCCCAGCAGGGAGGCCCAGTACAACAATTTTTCTGGAAACAGCCTGCCAGAGTATCCCACGGTGCCCAACTATCCTCCAGGAAACCAGTGGCCTTAAGCAACAACAGCTGCAAACTGCCTGAATTCTCTTCTTTTTGGTCTTTTATTATTGTTATTTGAAAAGATCATTTGCATTCCCACCCACCCCCCCAGGGCGTCTTGGGGACTCTTGGTTTTTGTCTCCTTCTCATCACTGCAGAAGATGTGTGCTGCCAGCCCATGCCGCCTCCAGAGCTCTGCACGGCCTTATCGGAAAGTTTTGTTTTGTGTTCAGTTACCAGTATTTGCCTTGTCGCAGACTGAAGAACCAACCGTTCACTGCCTTTGCTTGAGGGAGTCCTCTCATGATCACATTGAAAAAGGCTGACTTCTCCACGATGGTGAACACTACCAGAGTTGCTCCTTCTGCTTCCCCGCTTAGCTTTCATCAAATGCATAGTCCACCACCAAATCGTCCGTAATTGTAGTGAACACAATCCAAACGTTAGTAGCAACTGGTGTTTACTTTCCAGGATGAATAATCTAGAATATTTCACTCTGAGGGGAAACATAGCACTTAAATTATTTGGTACCTAGTGATACTGAAGGTATTGGTAAAATCTACAACCTCTTTTGTTTGTGTTCTCTGGTGACGAATCCTTTAGGTAACAGCACTTGCTCTGGGTGAGTGTTGTTCAGATGTGAAGTCCAGGACAATCCTCATTTGTCTGCCTACAGCTGTTGTTGTGCTAGAAGTCTTGCTTTCCCTGCTGCCAAAAGTTTCTGCTGTATCTGTGTGCTTCAAAGGTGCAGATTCATCTCATTTGGTTGATGCTAGCTCGCTAAAAGCCTGATTCAAAGCCCACTGGAACCTATTGAAAAACTGACCGATACTGGGCTTTGGACCTGGCTGCTGGGGTGACGTTCACCCTTTTTCAGGTAGGCAGTACGAGATCTCTATGCCATTTAAATTCCACTTATAGGGTGTCAAGATATGCTGACCCAAGAAATTCCCTACTGCATACTCCTTGCCCTGTTGAAAAACCCTTTTTGCTGGGCTACTAGCCAGTAGCCAGGCGCTAGATAACTATTGATCTCAGTGCTCAGGCCCCAGTGTGATTTGGGAGGAATTCTGTTACAATTGATAGATTTAATTCTGATTTCCACCAGTGTGGTTAAAATCCAAACATTCTACAATGTGTTGTCTGGTAGACTAAGGGAAGCTTGTTAGTCCTGTTAACGGATATTAGCTGTGCATAACTGGTACCTGTCTGTGTAGCCAGCAGCCCTTTTCTTGCACATAGGGGCAGGGACGGAGGTTCTCATCTTTCCCCAAGCATCAGTTGAAGAGAAGATAAAGGAGGATTATTTTCCCTGAGAAATAGCATTAGTCTCGTAGCTGATCTTCATCCTGTGCGTTTACATCAGGACTCCTGTAGGCTGAGCCATCCAATTCCCCTGTGTCCTACAGCGATCCCAGCAGTAAAGGCTGCAAGTTTTCATCTCCCTTAAGAGCCTGCTGTGATTCTCGCCCTCCAAACCTGTTAAAATGGGGGTGTCAGCTCCCATTATTTTTATAGGGAGGGAGTGTTCAGACTCTTCAGCTCTGAACATTTCAACCAGTGATTCCCATGAAGGACCGAGTGCTCCACTTTGGAGACTTGAAAGGCATCAGGCACCAAAGCCCGCCAGTCCTGGCGGGCTGTAGGGTAGGATGCTAGAGGTGATACAGTGTAGGGGGAGTCACTCTAAATTCGCATTGAGTAACTGGAAAGCAAAACTGGTTCCTGGAAAGGGTCAGGGAGGTTGTTCTAGCAAGATGCAGTTGTTTTGCAAGTGATCTTTTGAAAACTGTCTCTACATGTGCCTTATCTAATAAAGCATTAGTTCACGAAGGAGAACTGTTCCTTCCCTGATTTTCCCCCTACTAAATTTCCCATTTGGACTATTAACTTTTTCTGTGTCATACTGTAAATACTACGTGAAGTACAGCTTGGCATCTGCATGACACCTTTGTTACTAGGGCCAAAGCAAAAGCAAACGTTAATCGGAGCTCAGAGCCTTCTTGAACTTCAGTTTACAAGCAACACTGGCACACTGCTGCAGAACCAGCCTTTTGCTGGCTCTGAGATATTTAACGTGGCAGGTTTTTTCTCGCGAGTGTGCAACGTGCTTGTAAGTACAAATGCTTGAAGCCTTCTTAACAGTTTATCACCTGGTTGCATCGTCAAGCTTTTTAGGTGCCTTCGTCCTGTGTCAAGCGTAATATGTAGGTGTTCTTTGTCGCTTGTTGTCGGAGGGTGATAAAAGAAACGCCTGTCGATTAACTCCCTGGAAATACGATTGCACTAGGGGGGAATGAGGTGAGGCTAACGGTGTCTGAATCCAGCGAGGCCAAACTCGAGCTTGGCCACGCTTGGAAGCCAGAACGTTGGTGCACCTCCGTAAGAGCCCCCCGCCGGCCCTGCCCCTCTGTGCCCTGGCCATCCTGAGCCCTTGCCAAAATTTTTCCAAAGTCATTGGTGTCTTTTTCAGTCAGGCCAGAGTTTTCAAAGGAGCTGACAGGAGAAGCATGGCCATGGGACTTGGCGTCTTGCTTCTCTTATTCCTCTTTGATGGTCCAGGGCTGTGTTTTGGAGTACCTGTCTTCAGTTGCATTGAAAATACTTGACGTAGAGAAAGGCAAACCGAAAAGGCTGGAGGCAGACACCAAAACCAGGACCTATCATAACCCTCTGCCAAGATTTCTAAAGAACTTAAGGGAACCTCTCTGGATCGGATCTGCCATTTCTCATAACGCATCCCCCC